ACTGAGCTAAATCCCCGGTGATCAAACTTCAATTTATAGAGATTTGGAGTATGTGCATACCAAATTTTGAACCAAGCTGCCCACCACTTCTCCATTATATCCCTGATATTATAAAATGACATAAGCTCTAAAATGCTAAGGAATAACATCCACTTGTAAAGAAAAGGAGGCTGGGCAGGATGGTGCAGGTTTGTAATCCCAGCTACTCAGGAAGCTGAAGCAGGAGGATTGCAAGTTAGAGGCCAGCTTGGGCAATTAGCAAGAGCCTAGAATAGAATAGAGTACTGGGGATTGTAACTCAGTGGTAGAATTCTTACGAAGGATGCACACAGATTTTAGTTGTGCATATAGGTTAATTGGAAGACCCCTTGCCTAGCATCCATGAGGCCCTGGGTTTGATCCAGCAACACACACAAAAGGACATTACAAGACAGAGATAGAAGTGAAACAAACAGAAATAAAAACAATCATTTAGAAGCCTTGGAAAGGTCAATTCCAGTCATGGAGAGGGGGGGACAAACCTTGAATACTGTTAAAGAAAAAATTAGAGCCAGCTGTAATGTCAGCACTTGGGAAGCTAAGGTAGGCAGATCAGTGCAAGTTCAAGGCCAGCCTGGGCTACATAATTCAAGGTCAGCCTGGAATACATAACAAGAGCCTGACTCAAATAACAACAAAGAGAACCCAAAGAAGAAGTGGGATCATGAAAGGGGACTCAGAAGCTTCAGGAGTAATTTTTATGTCCTTTTTTTAATAAATTTGGTGATGGGTACAATATTTAAGTTTTTTGTTGTTTTTTTTTTAAGGCATGGCAGATAGATTGAGAAATTTTGGTGTTCAGTAGGCATTTCAGAAGAAGAGAACAGAGGGGAATGGCAGAGAAGCAATGTCAAAGGATAATAGAGCATTTTTTTTAAGAAACAAAATTACTGAAGTTGTCTTTTAAAAGGAAAAACAAAAAGTATTATTTTGGATGAGCAATAGATCACTCACATTTTAGAAGCTACTAGGCAGTGTTCTCTTGAATATCTTAACATCAGGGAAGTGAAGTCATGTTCTGTAGGATTACCCTGGGAAAATGAGGCCATCTCACAGCTGTCCCTTCCTCCTCTCCTCTTCAGAGAGTACACACTGGATGTGTACAGACTGACCTCCATGGTCACACAGCATGATGCCAAGAAAGCTGGAGCTGAGGTGGTAAAGCAAGTGGAGCACCCTTTGCTGAGTGGTCTGTTGTACCCTGGACTGCAGGTACTCAAGAGATGGAAGAGATTTTCTGCTCTAATTCTAACTACTTGACACACCTCTCAACACCAGCTAAACTGGTGCACTTGCTATTTCCTTCACCAGACTCTAGGCTTTCCTTCCTGTCTCCCCTCCTTTTCCTCTTCCTTCGCTTCCTGGAATGCTCTTTTACTTGATTGTAAATCCTCCCATCTGTTCTTTTTCATACAAATAAAATGTGTATAAACACAAATCCACACTGAGGCATAACATATAGAAAGGACAAAGTAAAAACAAAGAAAACTAACTGGCAGCTATATACAGTTGGACACAGTTGTGTCTTGTACACTAGAAAGTCTTTTACAAAATAATCATTAGAGCAACAGAAGACCAATATTCAATGTCATCCTGCAAGATTTCTTTAGCATCTCCTGTTTTCTCCAATGTCTTCCACTTTAGTATGGCTGGTAATTATTTTGGTGATTGCCACCCCTTCGAGATGCCTTGCCGTAAGTGCTCTGTTGACCACTGTAGTCTGCATATCCCTGTCCATATCCATAGTTCACATAGTTATACCCAGTATAATCATATCTGCCATAGCCACTATAGTTTTGATCACCACCATAGGCACTACTGTAATTTCCATATCCTTGATCATAATAGTTATTAAATCCTTGGTTCCAGTTTTGGCCCTGACCTCGGCCTCAACCCCTAGTACCACCTCGCCCACAAGCTGCAGCACCTCTTCCTCCTTTTTGTTGTTGCTGTTGCTGCCGATATACCTCTTTGGGTTGTGCAACTTTGATTTCACCCTTTCCAGAACCAATTTGATGGTATCTACTTTCTAACAATTTCTTGACTGGCTCTTCATCTGTGTACGTGATAAAACAAAATCCTCTCCTTGCATTTCTTTTTGTATCCATGGGAAGTTCAATATTTTCAATCTCTCCAAAGGCTCCAAAATATTCTTTAATTTGTTCTTCAGAAGTATCTGGACTCAATCCACCCACAAAAACCTTTTTAGGGGATTCTTTGCCTTTTAAAGCTTTGGCCCTCTTGGGGTCTATCAATTTCCCATCCAGTTTATGTTCTTTTAGCTCCAAAACCTTATCAACGCTAGCAGCATCTTTGAAAAGCACAAATCCAAACCCTCTTGATCTTCCAGTGACTGGGTCTGTTTTAATTGCGCAGTCTACAACTTCCCCAAATTGAGACAAATATTCCGTCAGATCTTTCTTGCTTGTATCCCAGCTCAAGCCTCCAATAAACATTTTACCGTCATCCTGCTGGTTCTTGCTTGCGTTGATCTTGGACCCTTCGGCGAACTCCTCTATATTGCTGTACTCGTTCATGTCCTCCATGGTGGCGGAACCGTCGGCAGGGGAGAGCGGGCGCGCGCTGCGGATCGCTGGGATGCCGGCGGATCGCTGGGATGCCGGCGGATCGCTGGGATGCCGGCGGATCGCTGGGATGCCGGCGGATCGCTGGGATGCCGGCGGATCGCCCGGATGCTGGCAGCGGCGGAGTGTTGTGTGAAGCTGGATTTAAAATGGCGGCGGAAGAGCCCTCCCATCTGTTCTTTAAGACACTGTTCATCTCACACATCTTCTTTATGTTAATCATAACCTTTTTGTTTTTGATTTTTGAGATAGTATCTCAGCTAAAGATAGCTCCAGATTTGCTATATAGCACAAGTTGGCCTTGAACTTGCAATCTTCCTGCTTCCGCTTCCTGAGTGCTGGGATTACAGCCTTGCAGCACTGTGCCAGGCTAATCATAATCTCTTAATTGAAAAAAATAAAATTGAAAATAAATTGATATATGAAAATAAATTTTAGCCATGATCCTATTTTGCATTAAACAAAACAATCACATCACATTTCATGGACATTTGTATTTGTACAGGTGAGGACAAAGACACAAATATACAAACCAAGCTGCTGATTCTGGTTACCTCAGGAAGATGGCATGAAAATGTAAATACATTAAACTTTTTAAAAATCTCTATAATGTTTGCTATAAAAAAATAATCTCCCCTTGCCACCTCAGAGATCTTTGCCAACATTAAACCTAGAGACTTTCTAGATTTCCACTGTGCAATATGGTAGCCTCTAGTCTTAGTCATATGGGACTATTAAAAGGAATTAAGATTTTAACTGAGTGAGGTGTTGTGTGCACCTGTAGTCCTAGCTAATTGAGAGGCTGAAGCAGGAGGATTATTTGAGCCCAGGAGGTCAAGGCCAGCCTGGGCAACATATCAACACCCAGTCTACAAAAAAAGTTAAGTTTAGTTTTTCAGTCACGTTGGCTATATTTCAAGTTCCTTGTAGCCACACGTGGCTGGTGGCTATTATCTCAGATAGCACAAATATACAACATATTCATCATCACAGAAAGGTCTATTGAATAATGCTAATCTGGATTGTTCTTATTTGTTCAATCTTCTGTATTCTCCATCTCTTTGCTTTTCTCTCTCCCTACCCTCAGCCAATATGGATTAAATTTTATCAGTTCTGCTTCTTTTCTTTCTTTTTTTTTTTTTTTTTGTGGTACAGGGATCAAACTCAGGACCTTGCACTTGCAAGGTAGGTGCAGCGCCACTGAGCTAAATCCCTGGCCCACTTCTGCTTCCTAAAACGTCTTAAATTTCTTCTTGCTCCACATCTCCACTCCCTTGATTCATTGGGATTTTTCATCTAGATTCTCAGAAAGCCTTCTAGTAATGTTGTTTCCAATCTATAGACCTCTAGTTCATGCCCTGCCGTTATCATCAATGTGACCTTTCTGCAGTGCTGGTTATGTTTTTCCCCTCCTTGAAATTTTTCACTGGCCAGGATAACACTAGGCAACTTAGCATGACATTTTATGGTCCTTAAGTACTTTTCTTTTTTCTTTTTTTTTTTTTTTCTAACCTACTTTTCCAACCTCTTCACTCACTACTTTCTGTATCCCTTAAAGTTTGTGCTTTTGCAGACTGAATCACTCATAATTTCCCTAAACATTTCACACCTGTAAGCCTTCTCACATTCTGTTTCCTCTTCATGGTCAAAAACATCTATGTGTTCTTCAAAGCCAAGCTCAGCCCACAGACTAATTCTAGGAAGCCTTTTCCCACAACCATCTGAGTAGAGAAATAATCAATTCTTCTTTCGTGTTGCCATTGTTCCTTGCATGAACATTCAGATTAGCCCTTAGCACACTGTGCTGAAAATGGTCTGTTTACATGTATCTCCCCGAGTGAATAATTGAGCTTCTTGAAGGGAAAGCCTGGGTCTGATACATTTCTGCATCTGCTGGACTGGCAACAGGCCTGGCATGTAGTGATGAGCACTGTTCCTGTAATAGTTCAGTTGCATCTTTTTTCTCAGTTCTGGCAGGACAGACTTACTTTTCATGTGTATGAAACCCAGGGCCTTATGCATCCTAAGCACAACAATACCACTGAGCTGCATCTCCAGCCCTATGATTTTATGCTACTCATTTGACCTGTGTCACAGTCTGTCTTGTTCAGAGGCATACCTTTGACATGACTGTGGTTTATCTTCTCTTTCTTCCCTTCCTCTGCCGTGGATTGGGAGCATCCTGAGACCAGAGACTACTCTTCATATTTTTTTATCCCATGACATCTTCATGGAATAATGTTCACCACAGGCACCCAGGAACAGTTTATGGAGCTCTTGGAGCTAGCACAGTGGCTCAGTGCTGTTTATTTTCTTCCTGGTTCTCCTTTCTGAAAAATCTAGGACTTGACAGTTTCTAATTTCTCAGACCCCTACTGAAAATGTACAGCAGGTGTTTATGCTCGTGTGTTTCTTTCCACAGGCTTTGGATGAAGAGTATTTAAAAGTAGATGCCCAATTTGGAGGTGTTGATCAGAGAAAGATATTCACCTTTGCTGAGAAGGTTAGTATCCTCTTTCTCTTTCCTGTCTGTTTTCATTGAGCCTCAGAGGTATGCACTTAAATGTATTGAACTACAATATGCCAGTCCCACCAGTCATAATCATACTGTATGGTAAGTATTATTTTCCTTGTTCTACAGATGAGAAGACTAACAGTAGAAGAAAACAAAAGTTGTCTAGTATCTTACAATTAGTAACTAAGCCAGAATTAGTACCCAGATATACCTCAAAAGTTCATATGCTTGCTACCCTACCTAATACCTATTAGATTTGCTTCCTTTCTAGTAGCTCAGTTTTACAGGGAGAGGCACTACCGGCCAGAATTACTGTTCTTCCCCAGAGCATTTGGTCTACACTGTCCTGTGTCTTATGTAATCTGCTCATCTCTGAGATAAGGTTTAACAGGGTTTAGCAGAAAATCAGCAGAAACCTGTAATAGTTCTTTTCTAGGAAAGAACTTGAGTGTGTTGAAAATGACTATTGAGAAGTGGTTGCTTCTCAAAACCTCATACTGGCAAGGGTGTAGAGAAAACACTAGTTGGAGAAATGTAAATTCTGGAAAGACAACTCTAAATGTTTCTACCCTTTTTAATTCTGTTTCTAGAAATTTGTTAAAAGGAAATAAAAAAGTACAACTAGGGTTATATATACTAGTACTTAACTACATTCTCAATTTAAAGCAAAAATCTGGAAATAAACATATCCAGTGGCAAGGGATTGGTTAAATAAATTATGAAAAAAAATCCTCACAGTGGAATATTATACAATATTAAAATGGTGGTTTGGGAATCTATTTAATGAATAGGGAAATGCTTGCAAAATTTTTTTTTGGTATCAGGGATCGAACTCGGGATCTTGCGCTTGCAAGGCAGGTGGCGGGTCCCCTAAGGTAAATCTCTGACCACTTGCAAATTTTTTATCAATCGATTATTTCTTTTTTCTTTTTGGTACCCGGGATTGAACTCAGGACCTTGTGCTTGCAAGGCAGGCATGGTGCCCACTGAGCTAAATCTATAGCCAATTATTTCTTATTTTATCTACTCTATTAACTTTTTAGTTGAACATTCTTTTATTATACTATCAAAGATTCAACTTATAGCTTGTTTTTTGTGTTACTCAAGAGTTGAGAATGAGTTATACTTTTTTTTTAGTAAGAGGATCAAACTCAGGACCTTGCTCTTGGGAGGCAGGCAGTGGCACCACTGAGCTAAATCCCCGGCCCGATTTTTACATTTTTAAAAGACAACAAAAATGGTGAACAAGCTGGGCACAGTGGCACATACCTATAATCCCAGCACCCTAGAAGGCTGAGGCAAGAGAATCAAAAGTTCAAGCCCAACCTGGGCAATTTAGCAAGATCCTATCCCAAAAAAGTTGAGGAGTGGGGGATGGAGATGTAGCTCAGAGTGAAGATCCTGGGTTCAATCCCCAGTACAACAACAACAAAAGTGAAGAATATGGGCCGGGGATTTAGCCCAGTGGTTTCGCTGCCTGCTGTGCAAGTGCAAGGACCCGAGTTTGATCCCTGGTACCAAAAAAAAAAAAAGTGAAGAATATGCAGTAGAGATCATTTGTGGTTCACAGCACTTAAAATATTTATTATCCAGTCATTTACAGAAAAGATTTGCCCCTTCCTGCCCTAGAGATTATAGCATGTATCTTTGTAATGTTATGGTTGACCTGTTTTGATTTACTCCTTTTATCTCCCTCCTGCCCTTTGTGATTTTGTCATGTTTTACTTTTTGAAGATATTTTAAATTCTAAAGACACTGTAATTATCTTTTAAACAATCAATTTTTGTGTATATTTATCCCTACTTGCTCTTTCTGGTACTGGTAATTCCTTCCTACGGTTTTGTGTTTCCATGCAAGTTCATTTCCTTTACAACCCAAGGAGCCTCCTTTAGTATTTTGTGATTGTAATTCATATCTTTGGACAATGAGTTTATTCAGCTTTCTTTTGTCTGGAAATAGCTTTCTTTTTGTATCACTGGGTATAAAATTATAAAGTTTGCAATCATTTTTCTTTCTCTACTTTCATTTCATTTTCTTTTCTGTGGTGCTGGGGATTGAACACCCAGGTCCTTGTACATGCTAGGCACGTCCTGTAACACTGAGCTCCCTCCTTCTCCTAGGCATTCTCTTTTTTTGAAGGAATCATTCCATTATCTTTTGGTTTCCATGATTTCCATTTAGAAATCACTGTAAGCCTTAGGGTTTTCTCCTTTGAAGATAATAATGTCTTTTCTCTGGAGGCTTATACATTTTTCTAAACCAATCATGATGACCCATACTTATAGTCCCAGCACTCAAAAAAAGCTATAATCCTAATACCTAGAAAGCTTCTCTAAGTGCTGAGCCAGGAGAATTGTGAGGTCAAGCCCAGGCTGGGCAATTTAACAATTTAGTGAGACTGTCTCAAAATGAATAAATGAATGAAAGAAAGAAAGAGAGAGAGAGAGAGAGAGAGAGAGAGAGAAAGAAGGGGGAGGGAGGGAGGGAGGGAGGGAGGGAGGGAGGGAAGGAAGGAAGGAAGGAAGGAAGGAAGGAAGGAAGGAAGGAAGGAAGGAAAAGAAAAGAGCTGGGAATGTAGCTCTGTGAATGCTCTGAGTTTAATCCTCTATACCACATAAGTAAATAAATAATAGATAAATATAAACATAAATTTTTCTGGTTTTGATTATGATGTTTTGAGCTAAAATTTTCTTTGTATTTATTGTGCTTAGATATTGCTGACTTCTTGAATTTGAGTTGATGTTTTCATCAAAGTTTTAAAACTATCAGCCATTATTTCTTCAAATATTGCTTGTGTCTTACTTTTAAGATTCCAGTTATACATATGTTAAATCTCTCGTGCCATATGTGTAATATTTGCTTCATTATTTTCCTTTCTTTGCTCCTTCTCTGCTTTAGTTTAATTTTTTGTTTTGTTTTGGTTTTGGTTTTTGGTTTCATTTTTAGGTGTTTCAGTTCTATCTTCTGTTAGATCCAGGATTGTATTATGCCTTTTTTGAACTTTAATTGGGTTCTTTTTTTTTTTTTGGTGGTACCGGGGATTGAACTTGGGACCTTGCACTTTCAAGGCAGGTGATGGAACCACTGAGCCAAATCCCCGGCCCCTATTGGGTTCTTTTTTTATAGATCTCTACTCTTTTTTTTTTTTGGTACCGAGGATCGAACTTGGGTCCTTGAGCTTGTGCAGCAGGCAGCGAAACCACTGAGCTAAATCCCCGGCCCCATAGATCTCTACTCTTAAAATTCACTATCTTTTGGGCCAGGGATTTAGCTCAGTGGTGCCATGTCTGCCTCTCAAGGGCAAGGTCCTGAGTTCAACCCCTGGTACTGCAAAAAAAAAAAAATTTTTAAATCATTATCTTTTGGGCCAGGGATTTAGCTCAGTGGTTCCACCACTTGCCTCGAAAGAGCAAGGACCCGAGTTCGATCCCCAGTACCCAAAAAAAAAAAAAATGGTTAAAAGATAGTGGGTTTTTTTGTTTGTTTGTTTTGGTACCGGGGATTGAACTCGGGTCCTTGTGTTTGCGTAGCAGGCGGCAAAACCACTGAGCTAAATCCCTGGCCCTCTTTTAACGATTTTGTTCATCCTTTCCTCTTATTTCCTTTAACGTACCAATTATTTTGACATCCTGTTCTACATACTCTAATAACTGGATTGTTTATAGATCTGATTCTGTTGACTTTTCTCTTGACTGTCAGTCACTTTTTTCTGCTTCCCATTTCTAGAACTTTTCTGACATTTCAGAGAGTTTGTGGACATTGTGTAGAGGCTCTGGATTATGTTTATAGAATGCTATGTTTTCCAAAGACTCCTAAATTACTGACTTTTCACCTTCTGATTATACTAGAGGATGGCTTTAGGCTTTGTTAGAACATGTCCACTTTGTTTTTCCTTTACTTTTACAATGCAGTCATTATTCATACTGTGCAGACTTTGAAGGGCCTCAAAGTGAAATCTCAGAGCATTCACAAAACCCTATCTATTTTGACTGGACCCAAAGCTTATCCTCTGGCCCCCCGTATTGTACAACCCCTGAATCTCTTACTCAGGTCTCCAGCTTCCCAGAGCCTGTTCTCTGCCAGACTTCCTGGAATCTCACCATGTGCATGCACAGCTATGAGTCAACCAAGAAATCAATAGGAAATTTTAACATGGGATTTGTTGGGAGATATCCTAGCCTCCTAGCAACTGAGTGCCAGTCTCTTGTCTCCTCTGCTTAGACTGTATCTATGTGTTCTCTTTCTCAGCATCTGGTTTGAAAAAAAATGCACTCTTGAAGAATGCTGGGGTGAATTTTCTTTCTCTCAAGATCAGTAGCCCTACACTGGTTGCTGCCCAATGCTTTCAAATGGATATTTTATATATTTCTAGCCTTTGTTGTTGTTTATGGTGGGAGGATATGTTCAGTGCCCTTACAATGTAATACTAATAGAAAATAACTTAGTTCAAATTATGATCACTGTTGAAAACTGTATATTCAGTAGAAAAGAGATTGGAAAGAGTATATCAAACTGTTAAATGAATATCTGCTCTTGTGTGTTTCTTTCTAATCTCTCAGTACCTCCCTGCACTTGGCTACTCAAAACGGATCCATCTGATGAATCCAATGGTCCCAGGATTAACTGGGAGCAAAATGAGCTCTTCAGAAGAGGTAAATTGTCAATTGTTTCTTGAGCTCTAGAAATCTTTGGCAAGAGAATGAAGACTCGCCAGGCATTGTGGCACATGCCTGAATCCCTGCACTTGTGAGGCTGAGCCAGGAGAATCATCTCGAGTTTGATACCAGCCTAGGTTTCATGGTGAGTTCAAGGCTAGCCCAAACTACACACCGAGACCCTATCTCAAAAGGAAAAAGGAGTCAAAGACTCAAAAGAACAGTAACTTAGCTAACTAGAATGCTCAAGTACAGTGGACCCTTGACTTACAAACTCAATTCATTCACAAGGGCTGGTTGTAACTCAAGTTGGTCAATTGAAGGCTCAGGCTCCTCTACACAGCCTTCAAAGTCTCTCCTGTATACAGGAAGATCTCAGTGTCCTTGCAGAGACATTGGCCCAGGATTTTTCTGTTACCCCCCCAAACAGGAAAAGATGTTGTAATGTTTCTTCCAGAATTCTTTAAGGGTTAAATCTGTATCTGAGACCATCTGGAAGCATAAGCAGCTGGCATTTGGGTCATAACTCAAGACTTTGGTCTAAGTTAAAACTAAAATTCTGGTCGTGTGTCAGGCCAGTAGTAACTGGAAGGTCTACTGTATTTGAAGTGTAAAGGACCTTAAGTCAGCCAAATAATTCAATGGGTCTTGAGAATTGAAAGACTCAGATCCACTCCTGATAGGATCCAGTCATAATTTTTTTTCTTGGTACCGGGGATCAAACTCAGGACCTTGCACTTGCAAGGCAGGTGGTGGCACCACCAAGCTAAATCCCTGGCCCAGTCATAATTTTTAACAGTTATTACTGGTACTGATAAAAGCACAAGGAAAAGTTGTTTCTTAAATGGGCATGGTGGCATACAAATGTGATCCTAGCACTCTGAGAGGCAGAGGCAGAAAATCACAAATCAGAGCCCAGTGTGGGCAATTTAGCAAGAGCCTGTCCTAAAATTTTGAAAAGAGCTGGGGATGTAGCTCAGTGCAAAGGCCTTGGGTATAATCCCTAGTACCACAAAAATAAATAAATAAATAGTTTCTGCTTTCACAGAGTTGTGACAAAATGAAGCTTATTTTTTAGAAGGCCAATGTTGTATTTCAGCAATCAGTATTTTAGTATTTTGATACTTGGAGTGATATTTGATATAGCTAACGATAAATATGATTTGGGGGAGATTGTGTTTTTTTGGTTTTTTGGTTTTTTTGAGACAGGGTCTCACTATGTAGTTAATGCTGGACTTGAACTCGCTATATAGCACAGGTTGGCCTCAGCAATCCTCCTGCCTCAGCCTCCTGAGCTTTGGGATTACAGACATGTACTGCCACCATGTCTGGCTTTGGCTGACCTATAGAATCACCTACAGACTTTGTTGTTGTTGTTGTTGATTAGACTCTGTCCTTAGAGAGTCTGATAAAGTACTTCCAGGAGTGACTCAGAAATGTGTTTTTTCCTCAGCAGATACAGTGACATATGCCTGTAATTCCAGCTCCTTGGGAGGCTGAGAAGTGATTGCAAATTCAGGGCCAGCCTGGGCAATTTATTTATTTATTTTTAACCTGGGCAATTTATTTATTTATTTTTAACCTGGGCAATTTAAAGAGACTTTATTTTTTAAAATGCTGGAACAGGGCTGGGGATTTAGCTCAGTGGTTCTGGCATTTGCCTTGTAAGCGCAAGGTCCCGAGTTCAATCCCGGGTATCCAAAAAAAAAAAAAAGTGCTAGAACAGAACTCAGTAATAAACTGTTTGCCTTGTATGTGCAAGGCTCTGGGTTCAAGCCTAAATGCTGATGGGCGGGGATTTCTTTCAAATCCTACTTAGTGTTTGTTTTGGTTTAGTTTTTGTTGTTGTTGTTGTTATTGTTGTTTATTTAGTTAGTTTGATACTAGGTATCAAATCTAGGTCTCACCCATACTAAGTAAGCATGTTACCACTGAGCTACGCCTCCAGCCCCCTACCAGGTGATTCTGGTTTATGTCATATTTAGGTAATTGTCTCGTTCTTTTTTTTCTCCCATCTAGTTCTTTAACTCTTGAGTTCTCACACTTTGAACAGAGATTGATAAATATGTGCATGTATACTGTCTGTCATTATTCTTTTTTTTTTTTTTTTTTTGGTACCTCAGGACCTCAAGCTTGCCAGGCAGATGCTATGCCACTGAGCTACATCCTTGGCCCTACTGTCATTATTCTTAAAAGAATATACTCATAATGCTCCGTGTGTTAGTTGCTCCTTTGACAAAGTATCATATCACTCATCCTGAGTGACATTGCCACATCTTGAACCTAGAAATAAAGCCTAGCAGCAGTTCCCAGACATTGCTGTGCACCAGGATCACTTGGAGAACTTTTGTTTTTTTTTTATGGTGGTACTAGGGATGGAACTTAGGGCCTGGCATATTCTATACTAGCACTCTTATTACTGAGCTCTACCCCCAGCTCAAGGCCAAAAACTTTTTTAAAATGCAGGTGCCTGGTCCAACACCAAGGAACTTTGACTCAGGTTTTGATAGACCTCATTAATTTATATATATTTTTTAAATGTCAGAAGATTCATATACAATCATATGTAAACTAGACTGGTAACCATTGAACTCAAATGACTATAAACTCCAAAACAAGAAACACCAAAAAAAAGAAAGAGGGCTGGGGATTTAGCTCATTGGTTTCACTGCCTGCTGTGCAAGCGCAAGGACCCAAGTGTGATCCTTGGTACCAAAAAAAATAATAATAATAAAAATAAATTTAAAAGCAAGGAACAATAGCCCCAGGTGTTCAAGAGGCTGAGGCAGAAGGATTGCAAGTTCAAGGTCAGCCTGGGCAGCTGAGTAAGACCCTGTCTCAAAAAATAGAAGGCTGAAAAAATAAATTAATTAAAATTAAATAAATAAATAGAAGGCTGGGGGGCTGAGGATTTAGCTCAGTGGTGCCACACCTGCCTTGCAACCGCAAGATCCTGAGTTCAATCCCTGGTACCAAAAAAATAAAGGGCTAGGTATATAACTCAGCAGTGGACCTCTTACCTGGCATGCACAAGTCCTTTAGATTCAGTCCTCAGTACCACAAAAGAAAATAAAACCTATTATTATAAAAGGAAAATCCCACTAAAAAATATATAATCCCCAGTATCTTGTCTATTTTCTGTTGCTATAACAGAATACCTGAGACCAATTCATTTAGAAAGCAAAGAAAACAGTTCTGGAACCTGGGAAGTCTAAGCCAGAGCACCTCATAGGGAGACCCTGACTCAAAATAAAAAATAAAAAGAGCCCCAGGGATAGAGTTTTTGGTGATGGTGGCTTTGCAGAGTCCCAAAGCAGTGCAGAACATCACATGGCAAGACAGCACAAGTGTGCCACAGACCATTCATTTGTATAATGAAAATACTCCCTTGATAACCCAATAACCTATTAATCCCTGAATGGCTTAATTCATTCATGAAAGCAGAGCCCTCATGACTAGCCACCTCCCAAAAACCACCTCTAAATTTATTAACATATGACTTTGAAGATTAAGTTTCCCAGCACATGAATTCCAGGACTAATGCTGTGAAACAGGTATCTTCACATGTGGCTGACTTCAGTGTCAATTATTGTGCCTTTCAGAAAACAATTTTGAAACTTGCAATTTTGGGTAGTTTAAGGAAATACTCCTAGAGATGGCAAAAAAAAAATTCTGCAAAGATGTTCGGTATAGCTTTATTTATAATTTGTAAAAATTAGGACATAATCTAACAATTTAGAAATTATTATATTGTCACTAATAACTGGGAATATAAAACAGTATAGACATTATAAATTAAAAACCAGGCACAGTGCCACACACCTATAATCCTAGACTCAAGAGGCTGAGGGAGGAGTGTTATAAGTTTGAAGCCAACCTGATCTACATAGTAAGGCTCTGTCTCAAAAAGTACATTTATAGCCAGGGATTTAGCTCAGTGGTTTCGCTGTCTGCTGCGCAAGCGCAAGGATCCAAGTTCGATCCCCGGTACCAAGAAAAAAAAGTACATTTATAGGGCTGGGGATTTCAGTGGCACCGTGTCTGCCTCTCAAATACAAGGTCCTGAGTTTGATCCCCAGAACCAAAAAAAAAAAAAAAAAGTATATATATAAATGAAGACAAAGTGGCTGATCAGAAATACTTATGACATAATCCCAAGTGAAAAAACAAGATAGTATAATGATCTGTATCTCATAGCCAAGTTCTGGAAAGAATGTAGAAAATTTAAATTTAATTTGCTGAGTGACAAGATTGTGAGTAGTTCCTCACTCTGATTAATTCTGCTTTTTTTTGGTTGGTTGGTTTTTGTTTTTGTTTCTTTTTTTTTTTTTTTTTTTTGTACCAGGCATCAAACTCAGGACCATGTGCTTGCGAGGCAGGTATCGGAATCACACTGAGCTAAATCCCCAGCCCAGTTTTTGTTTCTTTTTTTGAAACAGGGCCTCACTATGTAGTTTAGGCTGGCCTTGAACTCACTGTGTAGCCCATGTGGCCTCAGCTCATGGTAATTCTCCTGCCTCAGCCTCCTGAGTGCTGGGATTACAAGAGTGCACCACCATACCTGGCTCTGCTTTTGTTATAGTTGACTGATGTTTAAAACTGTAAAAAAAAAATTTTTTTTTAATTAAATAAATTAGTTGAGTATGTTCTAATTTTCAACCACAAGAGGTCCCCCCCACACACACCTCCTACCATTTCTAGGAGTCGAAGATTGATCTCCTTGATCGGAAGGAAGATGTGAAGAAAAAATTGAAGAAGGCTTTCTGTGAGCCAGGCAATGTGGAGAACAATGGGGTTCTGTCTTTTATCAAGCATGTCCTCTTTCCCCTCAAGTCTGGTAAGACCCTCCCTGCTTTCCTCACAGGGGCCAAGCTGGAAAAGCAGAACTCCTGCTGTGATCTTGCTTATGATCTGTCACAGATTCTTCCGCCAGAGCTGGCTGCCCTGCATCTCTGCTCTGATTTCTTATACATTAATGTATGGATGAGGCTGGGTGTCCTTAAGTTGTCCATGTGTTTGTTACCAGGCTAGGTTCTTAGGGGTTATCAGGGTAGGCAGGGGTATCAGGAATGAGGATGGGGGCAAAAATGTTGAACTAGAATAATATGAAAGAATTCTAAGCCACAGTCCTTCCCCCCAAAATAGAAATGAAATCCCATATAATAAATTTCAAAATGTATAGCAAAAACTATAAATAGTCATGCATTTAGGTTAGGAATGCTGATTGCTGTTAACAATGAGTTTGATACAGGTCCTTTTTTTTTTTGCAGAATTTGTGATCCTTCGAGATGAGAAATGGGGTGGAAACAAAACCTACACTGCCTACCTAGACCTGGAAAAGGACTTTGCTAATGAGGTAATATGAGGTAGAGGAAAACTAAACCCTACCAGATTCTGACAGTCTTTTCCCTTTTGGCCTAGCTAGGTTTATAGTTACGTGCCACAGGGCTGTGTCTTGATGCTCTTCAGGGCTTTACATTAATGACTTAGATGAGGATTCATGTGGTTTACTGAGTAGATAGGCAAATAGTACAAAGCTAATATATTGATATCACTCTCCAAAGAATTGGATGCGCTGGAATAAAGGACTAAATTGAACAAAAGGAAATATTTCAAGCACAGGTGCAAAATAATGATTCAAAAAAGAGTGACAGAGGGCCGGGGATTTAGCTCAGTGGTGCCACACCTGTCTCACAAGTGCAAGGTCATGAGTTCGATCTCCAGTACCAAAAACAAACAAAAAGTGACAGTGATTGAAGTTGTAACTCTTTAGTAAGATGTGTGGTTTGCATGGGTGAGGCTCTGAGTTTGAATTTGACACCACACACACACAAAAAAGACAACTACAGTAAGTCCCCGACTTAGGAACAAGTTCCATTCTAGGAGAATTCATTCATAAGTCCAACAAAATAAGTCTTATACACCTTTGACACAAATATACAATGTAAAGCATAAAGCCAAACACAAAAATACAGTAAGTGCCTTACTGTACACTATCGTACCTTACAGTAAGCACACAGCAGCACAACTCTGACAATATCCAGCAGACACATGAGCTACTTTCACAATGTGTTCATTTATGGTCCATTCCTATGTGTGAAAGTGCACAACTCGAATGTTCCTAAGTTGAGGACTTACTGTATAAAAGAAGAGATTCGAGGCTACTACTCATTTCAACAAGCAGCTTAACAATAGACTTACAAAGTGCCTATGTGTTATCACTATGCTAGGGACAGGTATTGCCAAGAGGGTTAGGCCCTCATGAAGCTCAGTCCATCAGGAGCTCAATCCAGATGTGTACATACGCAGGGAGTCAGCCTCTTTGTCTGCAAGTTCTACACCTGTGGGTTTAACCAACACCCAGTCAAAATATTCAAGAAAAGAGGGCCAGGGATTTAGCTCAGTGGTTCTAGCACCCGCCTTGCAAGCCCAAGGTCCCGAGTTCCATCCCCGGTAACCCCTTCCCAAAAAAATAGTATAGTTCCCCCAAATATTCAAGAAAAAATCGTCTCTGTACTGAACAGATACAGAGTTTTTTTGGTCATTATTCCCTAAACAAGGCAGCTTAATGATTTATGTGCCAGTTATATTGTGTAAGGTATGATACATAATGTAGAGGTGATTTAAAGTATATAGGATGGCCAGAGATTTAGCTCAGAGGTTCTGCTGCCTGCTTCGCAAGCACAAGGTCCCAAGTTTGATCCCCAGTACCAAAAAATAAATAAATAAAATAAAGTATATATGAGGATATGTGTAGGTTATCTGCAGAAATATAGAATCTGCCAAAAAAATTCATGAACCCTTCAGCAGTTCACTGTACTGGTAAATGTCTGCAAGCTAATGACCACCACTTTAAGCACCTCTTGTAATTGTAGAGGCCAAGGGTAACTTGCATTGATCTCATGATATCTCAATAAATTTAGTATTAAAATATTTTATGTTTTTAGTTTCCTGGTGTATACATTTTTTGGCAGACTCTGAACTCACTATCCCAGTTTGTACAGAGGATTTGAGTATCTGATTTTGTTGGGAAGGTGGTAGGTAGCTGGAAGCAGTTAATGGATACCAAAAGATGGCTTTCTGTGGTCCAGGCAAAAAATATGAGGGAGCGATTAATTGGCTGTCTAGAAAAGCTTGTGGAGGGAGCAGTATCTGAGCACTGTTTTGCTTGAAGAATAAGCGTTCATGAGGAAATCTACAAGGGAACTAACTGTGCAAAGCCATGGTAAGATGAAACAGCAGGGTATTTTAAGAATCATAAGTGTTTTGGTCTGGCTGGAATCTAAAAGCTAAGGTAGGACATTGTGGGAAGATAGGCAGGGCCAGGTCACAAAGAAAAGATGTGGTAATAGTGTATTGGAAATGAAATATTTGGGGGTTTTGTTTTGTTTTGTGGTGCTGGGAATTGAACCTAGTACTTGTATACTGAGCTACATCCCCATCCCTTCTTTCATTTTTTTTTTTTTTTTGAACCAGGCATCGAACTAGGGTCCTTGCGCTTGCACAGCAGGCGGCGAAACCACTGAGCTAAATCCCCGGCCCCTTCTTTCATTTTTTTGAGACAGAGTCTCGCTGAGTTGCCCAGGCTAAGCTCAAACTTTTGGTCCTCCTGCCTCAGCCTCCCGGAATAATGGGATTACAGATGTGTGTCACCACGCCCACCAAAATGGGAGTTTTGATTCACTGTGAATTTAGATTGAATAAGCAGTTTGACGGACTACTAAAAATGTTAGCATTGGGCCGGGGATTTAGCTCTGTGGTTCCGCCGCCTGCCCCGCAAGCGCAAGGACCCGAGTTCAATGCCCGGTACCAAAAACAAAAACAAAAACAAAAAAATGTTAGCATTAGGGCTGGAGATTTAGCTCAGTGACGCCATGCCTGCCTTGCAAGTGCAAGGTCCTGAGTTCAATCCCCAGTACAAAAAAAAAAAATTTAGCGTGGAATCTTGGGGTAAGTCAGCAGAAATATATATTCTAGAACAAAGGAGGTGTCCCACGTTGCTCACCACTCTTCTGAGTCCATCAAGTTGGGCATTTGGCCCCGGACTTGAATTTTTAGAGGTTTATTTGACAACCTGAGGCATATTCATGGAGAAAGAGAGATGTCATGACAGAGAATAGTCTCAAAAATATGTCACAAGATACAGTTGAAGGTGGGGAAGGTGGCACAACAACTGTTGTAATCTCAGCACATGGGAGGCTGAGGCAGGAGGATCACCATAAATTTGAAGCCAGCCTGGGCTACATAGTGAGTTCAAGGCCAGTTTGAACTGACGAGACCCTGTCTCAAAAACCAAAACAACAACAAAAAGATACAGTTGAAAGAACTTCGGATCTTTTAGCTGGGAAGCATGTATGTGTTCCATCATCAAATATGAGAAGGACTAGGGGGAGGGGACTAGGTTTCTTCCTGTGGCACCAGAGGGCAAAGCAGGACTGTCAGTGGTGACCCCAGGGAGGAATGTTGAGGTTCAGCATCAGGAAGAACTTTCTGATGACCTCAGGTGTAGATAGGTGGTGGACAGGGCTGCCCCTTCCCTGGAGGTGAGTAGCAGCAGCTGAAGGACCACTTGGAGGCAATGTTGTGAGCGGGTTGAGCATCAAATGGTGGGAAAGACTCGGTGACACCCAGGGCTAGAGGCCCATATCACCCATTTGGGGATGTTTTACAGCCACTGCTCTCCAGCCCTTCTCTGCTATTTGAGGCAGGCCACAGAGGCCACACTACTCAGCCCTGCTTAGGATCAGGAATGTTTCTGACTTCACATCCTTTTAGATTTGGAACATTCACATGTACGTGAGATATCTTACATATGGGACTCAAGTCTAAATATGAAACTGATTTGTTTCATATATATTTCACACAAGTAGCCTGAGGTGATTTCATACAATATTTTTAGTGTGTCTACATTTTTTTTTTTTTTTTGGTACCGGGGATTGAACTTGGGACCTTGCACTTGCAAGGCAGGCAGCAGAACCACTGAGCTAAATCCCTGGCCCCTAGTGTGCCTACATTTTGACTGCAGCACACACCTGAAGTCAGATGTGAGGTATTTCCTTGTGTTGTCATGTTGGGGCCCAGCCTTTGGAGCATTTCTGATCAGAGATGTTCAACCTGTATGCCATGTACCAGCACTACTGTCACCATTTCTGCCTGCTTTATGTGACTTAATCCTCATTCTGACTCTATGAGATATAGCTATTGTTATCCTGATTCTGTAAGGTGAAAAGCCAAAACTTTAGTGGGTTACATGCCTAGTTTGGAGTCACACAGCTAGTTGGAAATCTAATCCAGGTCTGTCTAACGCCAAAGCCCTTGCATTCTTCTCTATCACTCAGACTTTGGCCCTGGGGTTACCTATGTAAACGTTTTCTATTCATGAATACCACTGGGTATATGCCACTACTCTAAGCCTAAATGGAGAGTCTAATTCACCTGAATTAGACGAATACACATTTAGAGTCTGAAAGCCCTCAAGTCACTATGGTACTGAGAGTCAAAAGACTTCAGACAAGTTAGTTAGGCTTTCTGAATTTCTCTTTCTCTGCTGTCTTACAAGACTGCTGTGAGGATCAAGACTCAGCTGGGAAGAAACTTCCTGCATCCTATATGCACATTCTGAGTAAATTCTGGAGTCCTGTACCCTGTTCCAGGCCTCATCTCACCAGGTCTTGTCATCTCTACAGGTTGTACATCCTGGAGACCTGAAGAATTCTGTTGAAGCTGCCCTGAACAAGCTGCTAGATCCCATTCGGGAAAAATTTAATGCCCCTGCCCTGAAGAAGCTGGCCAGTGCTGCCTACCCAGATCCCTCAAAGCAGAGTAAGGCTATCTGGGGAAGGAATGGGAAGGGGAAGGGCCAGCGAGGGGGTGAGACCATCAGGAAAGAGCCTATCAGTGGGGCTCAGAAACACATCTGACTTAAAACCGAGGGGCCAAGAACCCAGCAGGTCCTAAGTGCAAGAATGTTTTATCCCATTGACACCTGGAATGGAACTTGATTCATTATGATTTGGTTTGGTTAATACTATGCAGTAATAACACCGTTACACCATCACTCGCAGAGAACCTGGTGTGAGCTGTGTACTTTGACCCTTCTAGTCTGTTTAGTAGGAGAGAGATAGGTATGTAGGGTGATATAGGGTGATTGTGTATTACACAGGTGCTCGGGAAGAGCCTGCAGAGCTTCTTAGAGGAGCTTATCTTTGGATTCTCCCAGGTTCCTTCCAGTTCTCCTGCCTGGCTTAGCCATCTACTTAGCCATGGTGCCAAGATGCTAGCATTGATAACTTTTTGTGACCCTCCCAGAAAAGATTCAGTAAATTCTTATGGGATGCATGAGTGGAAACACCCAAAGGTGGCAAAGTTACTACTGTCCCCTACCCTCCAGCCTAGTAACTGAAGGAGAGAATAGATGAAAATCTGGCCAGGTGTTGTGGTGCACGCCCGTGATCCTAGCACACCAGAGGCTGAGGCAGGAGGATCACTGAAAGTTTGAGATCAGTCTGGGCTACACAGTGAGTTCAAGACCAGTCTGAACTACATTGTGAGACACTGTCTCAGAAAAGGAAAAAAAAGAAAGGAAAGGAAAGGAAAAAAGAAAGAAGGAAGGAAGAAAGCAAGGGAGGAAAGAAAGAAAAAGAAAGAAAGAAAATAAATCTGACATGTCATTTCTAAAAGGTCACTGACCCTGTTTTTACAGAAGTGCAACTCAGTGGCTAGGTTCTGAGGATTCTCCTAAATCCTGCCTAATCTCCGTGTCCTCATCTTGGTGAGATCAGCAGCTGACCTGCCATGGGGAAGAGGGGAATCTGACCCCATGGGGTTCTTCTCATTCCCAGAGCCCATTGCCAAAGGCCCCGCTAAGAATTCAGAACCAGAAGAGGTCATTCCATCCCGGCTGGATATCCGTGTGGGGAAAATCATTAGTGTGGAGAAGGTACTTGTTTTTCACCACATCCTATAGAGGCAGATGGGTCAGATTTCATCTGGAGGAAACCAGGTCTAGAGAGGGGAAGTAACATCCTGGGGTCATGTTGCAAGTCAGAACCCAGGTATCTAATTCCATGCATCAGGCTTCCTGTAGCCATCACTGCCTCTGGACCTTCCACAACCAAACAGCCAGAAACTGAGAGCAGGGGTGGGGAGGGGCAGGTGTCAGTCAGAGGAAACTTGTTTATCCATTAAGTTTGGCTTGCTGGACTTACCTGGTCTGTACTGGCTTGCCTGGACCAGCTGTGAGTCTTATCTTGGATCAGCTACTTTGCCCCTCAAGACAGTGGTGGACAGAGGAGGACTTCCTTTTCCCCAGAGACAGGTCATGGAACCAGTAGCTGAGGACCATTGTTTTGCTCTTTTTTCCCACAGCATTGATTTGCTTTTCACTATATAGACCCAGCTGCCCAGACTACCTTTCGAGGGCTGCTGATGCTCCTGTCTAAGATGGTGAGCCCAACCCTTGTTCTCTCCACCTCCCAGTCCCCTGGGACCGGCTGGTGCAGCATGTGTACAGATAATGGTAGCCACTGACAGTCCAGGCCATTTAATCTCTGTTAGAGAGTCTTCCACAAACATTTAGATTCATTTCCTCAAATGCAGCCTCTTGGCTAGGAGTAGAATGTACCTTCAAGGCCTGTTCTGCTATCTTCTGTCTGAGATCTGGAAATAAAGTTAGCCCTAGAGCAGTGGTGGCAAACCTATGGCACGCATGCCAGAGCCCGTTGTTTGTTATCACTGAAAGCTCTGAAAGGTTCGCCATCACTGGCCTAGAAGATTCCCTTTCTGGAGACTGAGTTAAACCAGCCCTCAGTCCACTACACTGGGAAACTGTCCCACCTGACATCTCTTGCTGGCAGCACCCAGATGCAGACAGCCTGTATGTGGAGAAGATTGATGTGGGGGAAGCTGAGCCACGGACAGTGGTGAGCGGCCTGGTGCAGTTTGTGCCCAAAGAAGAGCTGCAAGACAGGCTGGTGGTAGTGTTGTGCAATCTGAAACCGCAGAAGATGAGAGGAGTCGAGTCCCAAGGCATGCTTCTGTGTGCTTCTGTGTGAGTGAGGACTTGGGTTGGGACCTAGGGAGGCCAAGGAGAGTGGGAAATTGGCCCATATGATGCCCTTCCACATGCCAGGAAGAAGCCTTAGAAAACTCTTCTTTTCCTCATTGATACCAAAAGAGAATGTATGAAGGAGTCACTGTACTAATTACTCTGAATGAAGCACTTTACCTAAAGTTAATTTTACTAAAAAGAAATAGAGGTGTGAGGATATCCAAGTCTTAAAACTAATAAGGGGTGGAGTCATGGTTCGAACCTAGCTGATTGGCTATGAAGTCATCCTTGGGCATTTCCAACTTCCTCCTCTAGAAACCCAGTTTGGTTTCTCTCTCCCCACATAGCCACGGTTGACTGTGGTGGTGTCCAGAAACATAGTGACTCAATAAGGACCTCCTGGTCACTACATTGAGGATCTCCTAAATACCATTAGGGCCCCTTATAAAGGCCCATAGCCTCCATGGCCTTTGGAAGCCATCCAGAGCCTCACCCTGTCCCTGTCTGTGTGTCTTCCAGAGAAGGTGCAAGCTGCCAGGTTGAACCTCTGGACCCCCCTGCAGGCTCTGCTCCTGGCGAGCGGGTGTTTGTAAAGGGATTCGAGAAGGGCCAGGCAGATGAGGAGCTCAAGCCCAAGAAGAAAGTCTTTGAGAAATTGCAGGTAAAATGCTGCAGTTGTTCCCCCTCTTGCCTGGGCTGCCTGGTCTACCTCCACTCTGCCTTGTTACTGAACCTGCAGCTGCCTCTTTTTCAGGTGGGATTTCCTGTATCTGAGCCCCTTTTTTTCCAGACCTTCCTGAATCTGAGAGGCTTGGGGTCTTGGAAGAAGCTCTCATATTCCGAGCACAGACAGATTATCCAAGGCACTTTGTGAAGGATGTTAGACACTTCCCTATTTGTTCTTTGTACATAACAGGAGCTGATGGAGATTATCCCCATTTTACCTGGCAGGATACCTGGCAAGACCATACAGTCACCAGAGGTGATAAGAGTTAGGGGCTGGGTATAGCTGAAGGTAGAGTGCCTGGCACGACTTGGCTCTGGCTTCAATCTCCACCACAAAAGAAAAGAAAAATGAGGTGATAGTGCCAGGGTCAAAAACCTCCTAGGGTCCCTCTTGATGACCTTAAGCTTAGAATTCTCATTGTCTCCTTGCTCTCTGAACATTCACTTACCTATGGCCTGCCCCTAGTGAACCCTGAATTCATTCAATCATTCATTAAATACTAAGTCCATATCTGTCAAGCAGTCTTCTAAGTTCTTGGGTTACATCTATGAACAGAGCACCAAAACTTGCCTCTCCTCATGGAACTAATCATAGTTCTGCCATAGACACACTAAAAAATGTCCTTAGTGATTCTTTCTTTCTGGCCTTTTGCTCTGCATAGAGAGAAACATTTACAGTTTGATTCATACTATATGTTTATTCTGTTTCCTAAATTTTCAATTATGCCTGAAAACTTCCATCTTAAATACTGAGGTCACATTATATAGTAGTCTATCATAGTTATCATAATTTACCTAAAACTTTACTAGGTACTGAGGTCATTCTCAGTTTTTCACTATTAGAATGGTATGATGGGCTAGGGTCATGGCTCAATGGTAGAACACTTGCCTAGCATGTGCAAGACTCCGGGTTCAATCCCCAGCATTGCCCAAAAAGGTGGGGCGGGGGGGATATTATGATAATGTCTTAGTATATAAAGGTCTTTGTACTCATTCATAATTATTTTCTTAAATTTTACAGTGAACTTATCTGAGTCGTGAACATGAAAGCTTTTGAACTTAAGTTTTTGTTTTGTTCTGATTGAAGTGCTAGGGATTAAATCCAGGGAAACTACTCTTAGAAAAATTGAACCAGGTTACATTGTAAGTAGTGTTAAGAGGTGTATAAGAGAGTATCTTTGTAGTTCCAACCACATAGCTAATTTTTTTTCGTGTGTGTATGTGTGTGTGTGTGTTTGTGTGTGTGTGTGTGTGTGTGTGTGTGGTCTATCTTGTCCAGGCCGACTTCAAGATTTCTGAGGAGCTCATTGCACAGTGGAAGCAAAGCAACTTCATGACCAAGCTGGGGTGCATCTCCTGTAAATCTCTGAAGGGAGGAAGCATTAGCTAGCCAGACTGGCCTCCTCCTCCTTTCTCCCACCATCCCAAGTCATCTGCAGTCTCCTTGGTATGCTGCATCCATCACCCATCCTCCATCTCCCAGGACACTGAAGCAGCAGGTCTGGGACTCTAGAGGTGCAGAACTCGTTAAGAGGCAGCAAGAGTGACCCCCAGGTGGCAAGGAAGGCTGGGCAGCAGCAGGAAGCCAGCTCTGCCTTCTTCCCTTGGCAACTGACTGGAAGATTCTGGTTACAATATAACTCATAATCCTTGTAATTGGAAAAACACTGGTTCCCAAGTTTTCTTGGAGTATTCCCAGCAGCTGTGCCTTTAGCCAGGATCTAGTGCTTGGACTGGGCTAATTACGGCTTCTCCCCAACAGGAAATTGTGGGATTTGAAAAGGAAAGAGGAGGGAAAACAACCAGTGGTTTAAACACCAAGTGGTTGGCAGCTTTCTCCATGCCTGTCTACCCTGTGGCTTGGTGTACTGGGAGGAAGGGCCTGCCCCAGGGATCCTGGCTTCCCTGACCAGCTAGGTTTGGACATTCCCTAAACCAGCTGTAGCGTTAGTACCAGGGGTGGGATGGATGGTGTAGCCTGTCTCTTTCTTCAGAGAGGGTGGGTACTTCTTCATAAGGCATCTTAATCAAATCACTAACCATCACTGTCTGATTCAAATAAAATGTCTGAACAAGGGTGTCTGGATGGGCCCTGTCTGTGAGCTGAACTGTCTTGGGGAGAACCCAAGTGTGGGGCAGCTGCTGGGGCATTCATGTAGGCTGGGGCTGCCTATGTCTTGTGCTTCTGGTCCTGTAACCAGGTGGGGGAATGGGAGATAGTGGTTAACAGATTCTTCCTCTTGCCCTTTGGTTGTACTAAACAGAAGAGGCCCACTGTCTTGGGCCAGATGCTTCCTGCAGGCAAGTATTTTCCCTTCCCTTTTTTTTCACTTTTTTTTTTTTTTTTTTTTGAGACAGGGTCTTACTGTGTGGTTCAGGCTGGTCTTGAACTGACTGTATAGCCCAGGTAAAGCCCCTGCCTCAGCCTCCCACGCATATACCACCATGCCCTCCCCCTCCCCTATTAAGAAACATCTTTTATGGTAGTGTAATAGCTTGATTTTCAGGCTACTGTGTGAGATGTACTTTCCTCAAACCTTGTTACCAGTATTACCCACTGAGGACATTTGAAATGGGGGGCGGGGCTTGAAGAAAGCAGCAGTCACATTCAAGTTTCAATCATTTAATTAATACCTTTAAATGAAACACAGCTTTTTCATGTGTCTCACTCAAGCTTTAGGACAGGGAATGGATTGTTTGTATAGACATATCAAAGACTCAAAAATTTAAAGAAATACATATATATATAT